TATACCTAAAGTTTTAGTATCATTAGTGAATGAATAATCGGGTTCCGTAATCACATCAGACATAAGAAATTCATTATTCGCTGACCATTTGTGAAGCTCCATGCCTCATCTATCTAACAAAGATATAAGCTGTTGTTGAATGTCCTTAGCTTTATCTAGACTATTAGCTCTTGTTAGGATGTCATCCATGTAGACATCTTGTTACAACACAGAAGATGCTAATGAAAAGTCATTGGCTTCATCCTTAGCTAATTGCTGCACTAATCATGTTGCTATAAAAGGCGCACTGTTTGTGCCAATACGTTACAGTATATAATTCATACACTTTTACTGGATCATGCATTTCCGCTTTAAATAAAATTCTCAGTAAATCTCGTTGGCTAGGATCCATCAGTATTATCTGATACATTTTCTTGATATCTGCTACAAAGGCGAACTGATGTTCCCTAAATCTCAGCATGATGGCTAACAAATCATCCTGAATTGTACCTCCGTTAAACTGTAAACAATTTAATGATTTTTCAGTAGAAGTTAATGCTCTAGCGTTAAATACGACTCTCAAGAGGGTACTACTTGATTCAGGACGAAATGCACAATGATGCGGAATATAATATTTTACATCCGGTTCTTCAGATTGTATTACTTCTTGCATATGAGCCATACTTAAATACTCTTTGATAAAGGTTTTATACAGTTCACAAAATTTAGGCTCTTTACCTAAACGATTCCACGGAGAATTTAACGGCATTTTTTTTAGATTCACAAAGACACGCCGGGTCTTTCTTTAATGGCATCTTCATTACATATTTTCTGGTTTCAGTCCTAGAATAGTTTTTGAGAAAATCCTCTTCACAAATTTCTGCTTCTTTACTCTTAGAAATCTCAGACTCTCTCTCTCAAAACACCCTTACTGCTCTATCTAACTCCAAATTATCTGTAACAAGCCTCTAGAGACATTAGGTATTTTTTGGAAGCAGGAAAGATGAAAAATGAGCAACGCCTTCGCCGGGAATCGAACCACGGACCCCTGGAATACGCGCCCGCCCAGCATGCAGACCGCTAAGAAGGCGGGAGAAATACCTTATAAGCCCACAATATAAATAACTTTCTCCTTTAGGAGGAAGAGTCTCACTTACAACATAGCCAAAAAATCTACTTTGTAATCTTAAATTTGAATCCTGAAGAGAAATTTGACCTGGTTTTCAAAGCTCATAGAAATGTTCTACACCTATAAGAAATTCAATTGGACCTGGCTCAAAAAATTTGTTATCTGCTAAACTGATGTTTAAACTTAAATCAAAATTCTTGTCTTTATTTAAAATAGTTGCACTAACTAGATTTTTTTTATTCAGACAAACTATTTATTCCTGATACAGAAATGTTAGTCTTTTCTCCCTTTAATTGAAGCAAATCTGGTAACCTTTTGCTCATAAAATTTGAATTGGCATCGACATCTAACAAACCTCTAACTTTAAAAAAGTTACCCGATGCATATACAAACAAGTGTGCTCAGTAAGACAGCCTCTCCTTCGCGAGATTGCACGTTGTTTGAGAATAAATGTTTTGATCAGTACTGACTTTAGCTTGCAGAGGTTCAAACGATGGAGTCGCAGCGTCTAAATTCGAATGAATATTTTTATTTTCATGACTCACCACCTGCGAAACTATCCCTTTGTTTATTTTTTGTTCGCGAGGGAGATAAAGAGTCACGTGATGTCTCCTTTTACAAATACCGCAAGATAATTTATTGCTGCAATCAATTACTTTATGATTTTCTAAATAGTTGAAACATAGATGTTTCGATTTTACTGGCTTAACTCTATCGTTAGCTGTCATGTTCTTATAACCAGGGCATTTGTACAAAGGATGAATTTCAAAATACATTTCGAATTTTTTACGTAAGTTAGAAAAAGCTTTGACACATTTTTAAGATAACTGTTTTTATTACTCAACCTAGAATTAATTATCCACTACAGATTTTCCCTTTTATGTATAATATAAATCTATTTCCTTAGCTTAGCCAATTCTACAGGTTTAAACCAGGAATTTCCTTGCCTTGCGTTTATAAAACACGTAACCTCTTTATCAAGTTTTGACATATTTTATCAAATACCATTAATTGTTTTAATGTTTCAAAGTCGGTTACCCTTCTCAATTTCAAATAATAATCCCAACTTGTAGGTTTAATCCATCTAAATTCTTTTTGCAACCCGTTTTGGGAAAGAAAGAGTCCTTACGTACACATGTCACGCAAAAACATCGCACAATTGCATTTGATAGCGATCAAAATGGATATTTTCGTTGAAATATGACACCTGAAAATTTTTGCGACTACAATACTTCCTTTATTTTGTAAAAGGAAGTAAAAAGAGACCTTTATTCCTTTCGTATATACAAAAGTCATGGGAAAAAATAGTCAAAGTGGATATGGGAGCTGTCAAAATTGATATTTGCATTATAATATGATATACGAAATTTTTCTCGATTACAATACTTCCTTTACTTCGTGCAAGGAAGTAAAATTGATTTCTGCTCCAAAAGCTTTCTGTTATTTAAGAAAATATTAATATCGGCGCCATGTTTCTTCATCTACGACGAGCTCAAGTTTTCTTCTCATACATATTTTTCAGTTTAAGTTTTGGACTACATTGTATTTTTGCCAATGTTAGGAATGTGAAACAGCATACTGGAATTTCAAATTCAGAAGTTATTCGGAATGCAAATGCATTTTAAAACTGAAAACATTCGCAGGTACATAAAACTGTTAAAACTGCGTGATTTGGGGGACGAGAGTCGGAAATAATTGCCTAATTGGTACGCTATGTCCACTAATGTGGGGGGGGGCTTTATATTTGTCTTCATTAGTAGTGACTTACGGATCGGTGACGATCAAAGGATCCATTGGGGGTCGATAGCCGAATATACACCAGTGATTGTTCGGCATAGTTTAGATCCCATTGATTACAAAATAATTATTAATATTGTAAAATTCATATTTAATTGTTTATTGATATAAAACTGTAAGTAAGGAAGAAATTATATATACAAGAAATATAAGGGGAAATGTTAAAAAAATTATTTAATACATTTTGAAAATCAATAACAATATTGGTTTTTCTATACTCTTTCGATATTTTATGCAATAAGAACAAGAAGCTGTTACCGACCAACTTTGTTGACTTTTCCCTCTTCTTAATAATAAGAAGAAAGCTTTAGTCAAGTCAAATTTACTACGATAAACAAGAAACAGGCTGAACTAATTAATTGAAGAGTTAGGTTAAGGAATTTTATTCCTAAATTATTAAAAATATTGCATCTCGACATCAAGCGCGACCACAACATTAGCTAAAAACGAAATGCTCTCAAAACATGTATGTTGTGTGTAAAAAAATAAAATAAAATAAAATAATAATAATAATAATAAAATTAAAAAAAAAGTCTCTTTGGGTATAATAGGAAATCTGAAAACTTTCAGACTTTTTTTTTAGCCGAAAGGGGCAATTTGCCCAGAAGGGCTATTAATTTCGTTTTGGCATTTTGCGTTTACGGTATTTCACTTTTCAAGTTGTTGCCACCAAATATTAGGGAAAAAGAAATTAAATAATGAAGAATCTGCATGAATGTATGTATGTTTCTCGCACTGTAAAAAAACAACGGTACCTAGAGATATCTAATTTTGTATAACGTAGTCCTCCACTCGAATATGTTTATCTCGAAGCCCAAATTTGGAATTTGAATTTGTTTTATTATCTATTTAATTATTTGTAAATTTTTAACGACTTTTTGGTTAGCAAACTTCACGATTTCAAAGGGAGCAGTGCCAAAACTGTATGGGAAACATCAACATTTTTATCTCCAGCGCGCGACACGGTGTATCAGAAATTCTAAAGCTATGCTCTTTTTAAATTATTTTGTGATAGTATTGTTGAACTGAATTTTATGGTTTAAGTGCGAAGAACTTAAACCATGACGCCTGTTTAATAAATAAAAGTAACACACAAAAAAATACCATTTGGGCGTAATATAATATTTGGAACCTCTCAGACTGTTTTTGGAGCGGGGCACTGACATTTTTTATAATACAGGAGAAGTAAAAAATGAGCAATGCCTTCGCCGGCGTTCGAACCTGGAGCTCTGGAATACGCACCGAGCCTGCTACCGTTACACCACGAAGGAATGCAGAAAAAAAGGAAGAAAATACCTTATAAAGTGACGGGATAACCAGATTTGGAGAAGTTCTGTTTTAGGTCATACTGCACCATATGTAATAAATTCTAGAAAAATCACCTAATTAAAAATTTTATCATTATTGTTTTAAATAAGGCTGAGAGTTTTGTTTTATAACCTGCAAAAGTGTCAAAACTTAATAGGAGATACAATTTTGAATGTTGGAATTTGAGAATTTTAAAATACTGGACATGCAAGAGTTAAATTTTAAAAACTGGGCGATAATCAATGAATTACGTTAAACAATGAAATAAACTAACATATTCATTAAAAATATTTTCTAGTTCAAATTAAAGTAAGTTATTTAATGATTAATTGAACATGCTGGAATTATTTCAACGGCACTTCAGCCTGAGAATTTAATATTTAGCTGTCAGTTCAAATGAATTACAAAACATATCCAACAAAAATATCTTACAAGTACTGAACTTTAGATTTCAGGCATCACAATATTATGATCGTTTTTGCATGTTTGGATAAATATTTAGCAAGCGGAACCTAAATAATAATTTGTACTTTGTTAATAAAATTTTTCATTTTGTTTAAAAAAAATTTGGCACACCAGTTTGACACTAATGCTCAGTTCCTCATTAATATGCGGAAATGTTAGCAAAGTTGGCTGCATAAATAGAAGTGGCTTTGGGAATGTAGTATGCATGTATGTATGTATGTACTATCCGTGACCTTCAATTACCTTTTCCTTCATCGCGTATATATGGTTTGTTTATGAGCGAAGATGAATCATGTGGATTTACGAGCGGATTTTAGCTGACAGATATGAATTAGTAGCTGGCGAAATGTTAGCGGTTTTCATATCCAATTAAAGGTGAAAGTTATTTCGTTGCGCAATTTTCTCTCGCGTTTGTGATATATCCGTAACGCAGATGGCACTTATTTGGCTGTGATATACATGATGTTGAGTACGCGTTTGTTATATGCAATGGAGAGACCGAGAGACGATGATTTTACTTTCACATGGATTATTCAGAACATCAGTATGTGCCATGAGTTAGATGGAGAATATATTTATAGCCCTTCGTTTACTTTGAATTCTTTACCTGGAATGAAATGGCGCATAGAACTATATCCTCGTACTAGCGACGAAGAGTATAACAATGCCGTAACCCTACAGCGGAAAGATTTTTTACCAGAACCCTCTCATATAAAGTGCAGAGTCGAAGTACTAGATTGCGATGAAAAATCAGTTTTCAGATCTAAAGAAATAACAACAAACAGCAAAAATAGATATTTTTGCGGATATTTGCCATGCTTTATAAAAACTTCATTTATCGAGAAGCAGCCAGACGACGTTCTAATCATAAAATATACATTGACGCCTATTTGTGAATCAGATCAACAAGCGATACTGCCGCCACTGCCTTACAAAAATGGACTGTTTACGGACCTTGTGTTGCGTACCAACAACGAATCTTTCAAAGTGCATAAAGCTATTTTATGGGCTAGATGGCCCAAGTTGTCTGAAAGCCTGGATAGAAATGAGCCATGTGTTTTGGATATCAAATCTGATGTGTTGGATGCCATCCTCAAATATGTTTACACGGGCAAAATAGATTTCAGCGGATCTGAGCTGTTGCCACAAGTGTACGCTGCTGCTGTGGAATACGAGCTTCCCAATATGAGTCCTCTGCCTGTCATGGCGACGAAGGCCCGAACTCGCATTAATGCAGAGAAAATATCCTTTGATTGGCCAATAGAAAATCTTCACAGCTTGCCCGTTAATGCCATGTTATACAGTCACGTCTTCACTGTCCAGGTATTGCCATCGTATGGATGGAATTTAATCTTTCATATGCGTGAAATATCTCCTAAAAATCTATCATTCACTGTGTCTGTTTATAAAGTATACGGCAATGAATTGAAAACAGTTTTCATGAAAAGCAAAATATCATTCCTTACGAATAATGAAATTGATTCTTGTGAAAGTGAACACTTATTTCAAAGGGATTTCAAATGGCAATGTGCAAAGTTTTCCGTAAATCGTTTCGCAAATCCAGAAAATGAGCTGTTACTTAAGTGCGAATTAAAATTTTCGAATCGGAATTACTTCTCTGAGATTCTGGAATCTTCATCCTGTTTTCCCTCTTCTATAAACTGCCATTATTTCAAAAGTGATCTAAGAAATCTTTTTAAAAGTGGAAACAACGCCGATTTAAATATAAAAGTCGGTTCGAAAACATTCTTAGCTCATAAATTTATTCTCTGCGCTCGATCTTCAGTATTTTCCAGAATGTTTGAAACAGAAATGATTGAATCGAGAAACAGTACCCTTACGATTTCTGATGCGGATCCCGATATAATTGCTGAACTGTTACTGTTTATGTATTGTGGTTTCTTGGAGAAACCTTTAGAGGAAACTGCTATGCGTCTGTACACAGCTGCTGATAAATACGATGTTTTGTCTCTCAAGAAGAAGTGCTCTCATTTCCTGAAAGGAAATCTTTCCGTTGAAAATGTGTGCAAAGTTCTCCGACTAGCCGATTTGCATTCCGATGAAGACTTATACGTAAATGCATTTACTTATTTTATTGCTCATGCTTCAGAAATTTTCTTAACCGATGAATGGGTAGAAGTCGCTAATGATCATTTCTGGGTTACACTTTTGGAAAATATGAATTTTCGTACGCCTGCTACATAATAATCGTTTAAAATATAATGCAAAAGAAATTTTCTGAGTATGATAACGCATCATCGTAAAAGTATTTTTACAAATTTTGTGTTTCTTAATTATGCCTTAAATTCAAAACAATATTTACCAGTTCCAACATATATGCATATTTTATTAAAGCAAAATGTCAAATTATCTTGCTGGAATTCATGATTAATGTAATAGAAAGTTATAAGATTTTTGCGATATATCATAAAGTATGGTGAGTTCAGCATAATCTGTCAATATACTTTGTAAACGATAACTGTTCTGTCACTTATATTTTAATGAAGTGCTTATATTTTATTTCAGTATAGCTTTGCATGTAATTTCTATTTTAAATTTAATGGTAGCGTTATTAAAATTTTCTTGCGAATTTTATAAATATGCCTTGTATTTTCTGTTTTGTGGAATGATATTTCACATGTAATGTCGTTTAGATAAAATTTCTCCCAAAAGTGATTATTTGGCAGCAAAAGGCTGTTGCATAAAATATGAACTAATTCTTTATAAATCTAAAAGTTCTTTCAATGAACGTTCTTCTATTGGATGAACTTAATTTTAGGATTATCTCGCTGGATTTTAAATAATATATGCATATCACCTTACGTGACTGTGATGCGGGGTTTTAGAGACATATTGCTTTATCTGCATTTTTTGCTATATTCATTTATTTATTACTCCAAAGGGGCGTTGTCCCTCAAAGACTATTGTTTTAGTTTTGCGTTGAATCCCTATAAATATCCGTTTCACTTTTTAAACTGTTGCCACCAAATGTTAGAGACCTGCATTATATTTGAAGAAATTGAATAATGAAAAATCTGCATAAATGTAGGTATATTTCTCGCATAGTGATAAAACAACGATACCTAGAGCCATCGAATTTTGAATGACATAATTCTTCTACGAATATGGGCATGTGGAAGACCAAATTTGAAATTTGAAATGAATTTTTTGAGTAACAAAGATTTAAAATCAAGTAATGGGAACACTCTACGGAGGGAAAAAAAAAACCTTTTTATGTCCAGCGCACGGAACTGTGTATAGGAAATTATAAAGATATGCTCATTTTTAAAATTTTGCGACATTGCTATTGAACTGAATTTCATGGTTTAAGTGCAAAGAATGTTATATTTAGTAAATAAAGGTAACACATAAAACATTAAAAACCGCGACTCTGGACGTAATTTAAAAATTGAAACCTATCAGATTAATTTTTCAGATTTGTTTTATTTTACTTTATTTTATGTATATATTAGCTTTTTATTTTTATCTCTACATTTACGTAAATAAAAGTAAAATAAAACAAGTTATAAATAAATATAGCAAAAAAATACCGATAAAATTGAAGCGAAAATAGGGAGAACCCTATCTATGTAACTCACATTCATTACTAAACAGAACCGTTGATATGCACATTTTTTTTTTTTTTTTTTTATTCTCAATAAAAAAAAATACTTATTTCATTCACGTAAGATGAAACGCAGTAAAATCCTAGTATACGGCACAGCATTGCCGCGATTAATTGTCTATACCGTATACTAGGATGAAAGTTAGCTCTATTTCACCACAAATTTATAGAAGTCTTCGTTTTTTTTTTTTTTTTTTTTTTTTTTTTTAAATATTTAGGGCCACTTAGTTTCAGAACATTTCTATTTAATTTATTTACATCTTGTTGAGATATAAAATTCTTCTTTACACATTGTTTTGTTTAAATAATCAATTTCCATATTGAATTTAATTTTTGGTGTAATGATGTTTAAGTTATGGGTTTCCATACAATGTTTTATTTCTAGTGAAAGGATTATTGACTACTAGAGAAGAAATTATGTTTATTCATTTGCTTGATGTTCTTATAATAGTAAATAAAGTTATAAAAATTAAAAACACTTAATTTATAAGATATTGATAAAAAAAAGACATAAATTAAGTGGGCGCTGCTTAATGTTATTACGTTTATCCACGGCTATTTCGATAACATTTTGATACCATGCGTTGGATTTTGTTATTCACTCTTTAAATGCTTGTGTTCAATCAAATACTTTATAAGTTTATAGTTACTCTCAAAATGAAATTATTTAATGTCTTCATAGAGCCTGTTAGGATTTACAGATCAGGAAACAAAATTTCCGACATGCATTCACCTGTATTTGAACCACAGCTCATCTAATGTTCTGCTAATTACTTACATAACTAAAATACACTTAGCCAAATGCGATATTCGTTACGCTTCTTTCTATTTAAAGGAATACAGGGGAGAAAAAGAAACCCAGTCGACTATGCCAGATAATGAGTTATTGTTCTTCCTTCTTCAGTTCGGGCGCCACTGTAAAGACTATTAGCTTTCTTGGGAAAGAAATGTAATAGGGAACAGTTAAGTTAGGGAAAGAAATGTAAAATTATTTAGTAGGGAACAGTTAAATTAGGGAAATACGAAAAATCTACTGTGCCGCAGTCTGGTATCTGTCATTTGCCATATATAAACAGTGAGAGTAATCACCCCCCCCCCATGCGGCGGGCTCTCGGGATGTAAATGCATGTGCTGTCTAGTTATACTACCGGAGAATGCGAAAATCTTTACAGCTTACGTATACACTGCATTACTTTTTTAAAGTAAGATAAATTATTTGTGAGTTTAAAGTGGATTGAAAGGAAACAAATTTCAGGTATTAGATAAAAAGAATATTGCTTCTCATTCCGGTTTTGCGTTCTGCATATTTTTTTTATTTTATTTTGTGTGTGTGTGTATGAATGAATGTTCTCGCAATTTACTTTCTTATGTTGCACTTTTTGCGTAGAGAATAATTATGTATTTTATATTATATAAAGAATATATTGATTTAAAAAATTATTAAATAATTTCAGTGTAATTTTTTCTTTGTATTTATTTTATATGATTTCTTTCCGTACTGTATGATACAGCCTTATATCAATAAACAGTTAATTATCAATTTTAAAATTACTTTTTTTTGGGGGGGGAAATCTCTGGGATTTAGATAATGTCAATTGTCGGTGCATATTCGGTTATCGACCCTCAGTTGACCCTTGATCATCACTGACCTCCCTGAAATTTTCATGGATCTGAGTGTCAATACGGATACCGTTGGAAACTCTCTGTGATAATTAACCATTTACACTACGAAAGCTCGCATTAAGAAGAGAAATAATCTCATAGATTGACAGATTTTTTTTTTTCAATTACAGCAAATTAATTACTAAGATTTTAAAAGGCTGTGATTCGATAAAAGTGGTCCTCCCTTTCAGAGGATTAATTATATATAAAATCATCAACGTATTTTTCGAAGAAACCAGAGTAAAAAATTTTTTTCTTTATAAATGGAATATAATGAGGGATCTCAAACACTAATCTAGAAATTTTTATTTTGCGTGATTACCGCATTACTAATTTACGTATAAATGAAATCCATAAATTATTAAATTCCTCGTGTATGCTATATTTTTATTTTGCGTGATTACCACATTACTAATTTACGTATAAATGAAATCCATTAATTATTAAATTCCTCGTATATGCTATTTGAAAAATATTAATTGTATTAGTCAATGTAACATAAAAATAAGGCTTATTGTTTGCGTGTTGATGTCAGATAATGGTTTTGTGATTTATCTTAAGCAAAGAATGTAAAACATGGAATGATATCGAAACGTTGAGGAATACAAGTACGAGTACAATGAATTGCAAAAGTCACGTGTGGAGTTCAAAGTATTCCCTTTATTTTATAAAACGATACCGATACCGGCTAGAAGACCAGGTTAGAAGGGTTGCATGATGGAAAAGAATGGAAATGATGGATTTATATTTACCTAGATTATTCAGAACTTCAGTATGTGCCATCAAGGTAAAGGAGAGTATTTACTCAGCCCGGCATTTGACTTGAACGCTCTACCGAGCACGAAATGGCTTATAAAATTATATCCTCGTGGTGTAGACGGTGAAAATTACATAAATGTAGGACTCTTTAGAGCGAACTATTTCAGTAGAGATAAGATAATATTTAGATTTTGGTTACGAGGTTGCAATCGAAGATTACGTTTTACTTCGACATTATATGCCAAAGTATTTCATGCTAATTATGTGTGGCGTCTGGATAATTGTATTAAAAGGAGTTCTAAGCATCAAAACCTAGTAAACGACATTCTGATCATAACGTGTACTTTGCAACCAGTATTTGAAGCTAACGTACAAGATATATGCTATCCTTTTCTATACACAAATGGATTTTTCTCGGATGTTGTGTTATATCGTGGCCTTCGAGAACAAGGCCTTGCAGCCTTATAGCTCAGTGACGTAGAGCGCGTGACGTCAGTACAGAGAGTGCACAGCCGACTGTATCATTATAGAGTTGGCTGTGAGAGAGTGCACCCTTCTTTGGGTTTGAGGGCAGCGTTGGGTCAAAGGTTATTGTGAGTCGCCATTGCTGCGAGAGAAGTGGTTGAACTGCAATTATTGACTTAAAATCTTGGTATATACCGTGTTTTTTTCGTAGTCGGACACTTTAAATTTGAGTTTTTTTGCAATTTGTGGGTTGTTCCAGAAACAATATGTCTTGCATGTGGTCAGTGCCGCGATGTAACTGAAATTACAATACATATTTTCGCTTTTCCTGTTTTTGCAGATGTGAAAATGGATACGTGCAATAAAACGGAAGGACTTTATTCCGACTAAAAAGCGCCGATGCGGTTTATTATATGCTTTTTTGCTTTTCCCGAAACTAGCTTAAATATTTGCTCTTTGAATGTGTCTGTTTTAAGCCCAAATGATTTCCACTGAAAAACTAGTGTATATTAAAAGTAACAATAACTAGTGTAAAATATAAATAAACAATAAACTATTAAGTCCATAATACTACAGGATTATTTAATGTGTAGTAATTTTGTTTCATGTCTTGCTGAAACGCTGTGCTTATGATTATATATTAATCTATAACATTAAATGATTGTATATCTAATTTATTTCAGTTTTATTTTTTAAAGTACTTTTCCTATATATTTAAAGATTTAAAGTAATAATGTTTTTCATTTAAAAATTCAAATTGTGTTTTTGTCATATTTGAAAATATGAGAAAATTGTAAATAATTTATATATTAAAAATATATAAACAAACTTGAAAAATTTTACCCAGTTGCTTATAAAGTTTAGATTTTTTTCCCCTAAAATTTTGTTCGTTTTTTAAATTAAACTTCAACATTAGCAAAATGCTAAATTTTGAAAAGCTATACAGTATATGATGTTTTAAAGGATACAATAGAATAAACAAATAAAAAATTAAATATACTGGGAGAATGAAGTGCTTTTCAAAGGACGTCGGTATCCTATATTATCATTGCACTTTCCTGATAGGATATAGGCTCTACCACGTGCGCTTTGGTAACGAGATGTGGGAATCTCGGCTAACTGCCTTGCATATTTTAAAATTTTAAACATAATTCTGCAGTGTGTTCCTTTCAAAATGTTGTCTATTAAATTTTCAGAGAATTATTATTTTTTCTCCTTTACAATTCCTTAAGGATACACATAAGTGATCCAAAAAATCAAAATTCACACATAGTTAGCCCACCAGCGGCCGAAGACGCTGAACACTGGTAGTTCGGTCTGAGGTTCGAATCCCGCGAACGGGCTGGCGCATGGGCGTTTTCCTGGTTTCCCCAGTGTAACGTGTTACGAGCCAGTTTCCCTTAGAAAGTCCTCCCAGGGCATCCCACCTTTAGGCAGATAGCCCTCGTGTGCTTGCCATAATGTAATCCCATCCATCAATCCAATCACACATAGTTACAGGCACAACTTTCGATCTAGAGAGCT